GGGGGTCCGAGATTTGTGACAGTTTGTGACAGGGGAGGGGGGGGGTAAAATAGTCAAAAATAGCGTGACGTACTTTATGGACGGCCCCTAGGTAGCTGCCGCAATTTTCAGTTAAAGTTCCCTAGCCATTGAGAATTCCTCCACTTCCTACAAGTCAGTAGGCTCGGATTTTGGTCAGCTCCGGGTATTTTATTTCCCCAGTACCCGCGATATCTGGTGGGCTTTCCCCTATCTGCCACCTGGGGAGGGGGGGGCACTCAATGGAAGACCAGTATCTCCGCACCGTCTACTTTGAATCTAGAGGGCACAAAAACGAAAAAGTTCCAGATGGACTCTAAAAATTAAACGCCGGTCTGACTGTGTGATTAATCGCTCGGCAGTTTCCCCTGACACAATGTGAAATTAATGTTTTTTTGGTACCAGCCGATGTCTAACTTAAATTTATCACGGCCTTTGAACACCGTGTCACCTTCCCGTTTTAATTTTAATGATTAGGAACTTTTAGTTGTCCACATCCCTCGTATTTATTGCGCATAACTGCATCTTGATTTTCTGACGCTTCTTTGCGAACGCAGCATTTTCAGATATTTTTTTAGTGCTATATTATAGTAAATAGTATACTTAGGTAATAGCCTACTTGTAGTATAAGGTAACTTGGATAACTGATCCAGCAACGGAAAAAAAAATATTTGTCATTAAAAAAAAACATAGATAAAAAAAAAACATACATTTTAATGTCCACTTCTTGTATTCCCAACTTATCCTTAGAAGTAAAGATTAAAAAAAACAGCCCCATTTAGTTGAGTAATAATAATTTGCTGCTTCGTAGTTGTAGGCCTCACATCATCGGTCTCAGCTGGAAAAAGACTACACTCAAGATGGCCGCCATTCACAAGTGAACTAGGAAACTTCACAATTCATAAAGTAGCCTAGGAATAATGACATAATTTTTTAATAATTTGATGATATATGATGTCTGATTGTTGTGCTTAAAAGTACTTCAAATATATTACGTTAAAATCAGTTCAATTGTTCTAGTTTAATTTTTTAAATCTTGATCATTAATATTTAACTATGAATGTTGAAATTATATTATCATTGAAAATGAATCTGTACAATGCAATTTTTCCATTTACTTAGAACACCAAAAGAATCATTTCTTATTTCATCTTATGGTTGCATGGCACATCTATTCTTCCCTTGTAGCATGTAAGGCAGAAAGACTATGGAATAATAAATGAAAATGGAGTGAAGATAGTCAGAGAAGGCTTGCTACAAGCATTCACGCTGAGACTGGTAGAGTGAATGAATTTTTCCACAACTGTGTGTTATTGGTGGAAAATCTCAGCTCTCATTCTTCTGTTTTACAGCTGTACATAAATTATGACACTGCATTTAGTTGCCTCCACCCCGAAGAAAAACATCCATGTCAACAGCTTGATGTAACTTTTATTCCAGGCCTATTCTATTTAATCAGTGAGCTGTACAATTTTGCAGCAACTGAGAGATCAGTGTCAGCTTCTTGCTGGTCACGAGAGTCTGCTTACTCTGTTGTGTAAAAAAAGTGCATCTCACAGCAGGTACTGCTGTGCCAACTGACCACTTTACTGCCAGAGCAGGGAGCAGATCTAAATCATTGCTTTTCAAACAAATTTTTGGTCTGTGTACTGGGACCAGCCCACATGCCTTCATTCCCTTTGATGTAAAAGCTGTACAATTAAGAAGATTGCAAAAGTACATTTATCAATAAATTCAGCACTGGTTCCTGCTGCAATGTGAATAAATTCCTGCCCAAAACAGCCTAGTCAAACTGAATAGTTTTAGAAGCGAAGGAGTGGATAATTCAGCTCTAGTGGCTTGCTTTACTAAGAAAATTCAAATGAAATTTCCTAATTTTTGTTTAGGTTTCACTTTAGAACAGGGGTGGCAAACTCAATTGCTCAGTGGGCTAAAACTCAAATCACACAAGGTTGCACGCAAAAATCTTTATATTGCAGAGCCATTAAAAAATATTTTCGCCTAAAGTTCTCTCTCGGGCCGGATAAAATTGTATTCCGTTCAAGACCTCTCAGGCCTGATATAATTGTATGCCGTGCCTGATGTGGCCCTCAGGCCTTGAGTTTGACACATGTGATTTAGAACTTATACCAATGAGCTATAGCCTTCCCACCATCACTGAGCTATAGCCTGCCCTCCACTATCTTCCATTAGTTAAATCTGTTTAAGTTTAAGCTAAAAAAACTTGCCCCTGCAAAAACATTTTCAATGCATGTATATTTTCTTTTTGTTCCATCTATAATTTTAGGAACTTACATTACATATTTTCATATAAAAAAAACAAAACAGCAATTTTGTCATTTCATATTTATGGGAGTGTATGGAGATACTTAAGGGTACCGGTAAATAGTTTAAAAAGATTTTAAAAAAAAACCACACAGTTGACAACTATTTTTCATTCTTTAATAAGTACGGTAATAATATAAAACAATTCAGAATAGCACCAACAATTACCAAATTTTATACATTTGTCTGAATAGTCAGGTATTCTTATACATTTCATTATTGGCGATATAACAGTTTTCTTATTCAATATCCAATGCATTGCAAAGGCAGATTTTTCTATTTTACACACAGCTACAAGTACTAATTCTTAAGCAGTTAAAATTTCACATCCGCTTTCAGTGACTAAGATGGTGTGTTCAAACTGTGCAGAATTACTTCCATCTTTTGTAACCACAGTCCAGCCGTCATCAAGTACTTGGATTTCAGGGCTTCCATCACAAAGTATGGGCTCTGTTAATAAAGTCGCTGTCAATTCATGTTGTCAAATTTTAAATACATACAGGAAATGCTTCCCAAATTGAGTTTGTTAAAAAAAAAAAAACCTACTACAATTTACATTTAAATTGTCTTTAATGTAAATGTGTAGTAGCAGTAGTTCCATATTTAAACAAAAAAAAGCTTGCCTTAATAAATAATCTCATGGGTTATGACATTTAAATTAAGTTTGTTTATTGATAGGCGTGTTTGAAATTAAAGCTTTAAGATCCTAACAATCAGATTCTAATTCTAATTGTAGGCCCTAATACTCTTAACGCTACCATGGCCAGCCCCAAGCCTGAGTGCATGAGGCCAGCTACCAAACCTGTAAAACAAAACACATTGTTACAAAAGAAGAAAAGAAACAAAAAATTTCAGCCCTGAGAAGAGAGGGCTCTTTCCCAAAAGAGTTATGAAGCCTTGTGGCCAAAGCCATGTTATACTGGAAGCCTCAAAGCAGAGGCCTCTCCTTTCAAAGGTAAAAACTTAGGCTGGTGGAAGATTAGAAACATGTATGAAACAGGAAAATCAGCCCAAATGGTGGAAGAAATGAGAACATACAAGCTCAGACTGCTTGGCATCTGTGAAACAAGATGGACACAGCTGGAAAGTTAACATTGGCTTCAGGAGGAACACTAATATTACTAATACCCGGGTATTAAAAATTAACAATAAAAAATAAATAAATTGCACGGACTTAATTACCTATAGTAAATGTCATGCCAGAGAGCATTCTTTCTTGACCAACATTATCACTTGCTGTTGACACAAAAAAGTAATAATCCTATTAGAGCTGTAATTTTTCCGAAACAGCACTAAACTTTTAAAGAAATGTTAGTTTTTTTTTTTTTCATTATATTGAAGGCATGTCAACATTCTTATTACCTAATTAAAGATTATTTGATGTAATAAAAAAAAATTTGGTCTATTCCTACTGTCAATAGTTTATACCAGAGCTCCGCAAACTTAGTGCTACGGCACACCGGTGTGCCGTGAAAGGAAGCCAGGTGTGCAGTGAAAATTGCCCCCAGAAGGAGAAAAAGCACAGATTATAAGTAGGAACTGCAATATGATGTTACCGGTCCTAAAAAAGGGACATTGGATAGTATATTACCTAGCTTTCAAACACTGTCCTAACAGAGATGTATCCATTACAGACAGGTAATTTAGTGCAATGTAAAGTAATGGGATACCTTTAAGCATTGCACGACATTATGAAAAATTCACAATGGGAAATGTTTTTTAAAATTTTTTTATTCGAGACAACTTTATTTATTTAGTTTTAGAAATATTTTAAAAATCTATGTTTTCTATGCCTACAGATAAAACCTAGTACTGTTACTATACTTACGGACATGAACTATGTCTGGTGGTCCATGAAAGTATTCACCTATCCCATGACCACAGAAATAAGGTATTACTTCAAAACCAGCTTCAGAAGCTGTTGAACTGAAATAATTGTACAAAAAATATGGATTTAAACAAAGATTCAACCTACTTTTTACAATTATAGTTTGTGTATTTTGATATTTTATTAAACACAGTTAAAAAGAAAAAAACAACAAATTTATGTCTGAGCAATAATAATTAAAAGTGCTTTTACAATATTTACATTTAAAAAATTGTGTAGTAATAACTAACATCTCGGCCTACCGGTACCAAATAAAGAAAAAAGTGTCATCTAAGCATATCACATTTTTTTAATATTCAGAGGTATGTTCCAAAACTCACTAAATATAATCTCCAATGTCAGAAAACAATGCTCCATGATGACAAGCATTTATTCCAGCATCACGACAGAGTTCAGCTGCTTCAACGAGGGCTTTATTTCTTTCATCAACATCCCCTACTAAGAACGTTTGAGATGTATCTCCATGATAGCCTTTGAAAAATACCTGACATGAACATTTAAAAAAAGGTTCAAGGTACAAGTAAAATGTCTATAAACCATTTCTTAGGTAATAGTTAAGGAAACATATTGAGTAAGATAAGCAAGAAGGTTTGATTTTTAAAAAAAATAATAAAAGAATCTTTAAAAACAACATTTCCTTAAACATTTAATTCTTACTAAATCAACAAAGAAACTTAAACTTAAAAAAGTAAATAATATGTAATACTAAAAACTATTCTTTCACTCACACTTACAGTTACATCCACGTTTATAATGTCTCCATTGTTTAAAGTAAGGGTTCCTGGAACACCATGACATGCTACATTATTAACTGATGTACAAACACTTTTTGGAAAGCCTTTATAGTGAAGTGGAGATGGATAAGCACCTGCTTCAATGCATTTTAAATAAACCATTGTATCAATTTCTTCAGTTGACATACCAATCTATACAAAAATATGGAAAGTAAACATTACAATATGTAGGCTTACATTTTTTAAATAAAAGTTTGAGAAAATTTAACTTATTCTAGAGGTGCCTTCCAGGCCATTAGTGTATTGAATCACGAGTTAAAAGCTTAATAAATTTTTTTTAATATAAACACTATTTTGATACACACCCTTAGGTTATCACCAACATATCTGAGAATAGATCCTGCAAGCTGGCATGCTGGTTTCATTTGACCGATCTGTTCTTTTGTTTTTATTTCTGGATTGGTTGGAACTTTTAGGTCCCCATCAATGGCATATGAAGGTAATGGTATCCAACTTGGAATAGGTTTATGACTGACATTTTTAGAATAACTAAATGTTCTTCTGGAATGACTAAGACTACTAAGAGTGGTTATCATTCTTGATCTTTGTAGTTGTATGCCCATATGTGACAAACTGAGTATTTGGTATAATCGACACATTTCGCTGCTTTCTTATTGTATTTAAAACTTATAATAGGACTTAACAATCTATGTCACGATTAATACATGATGCTGTTCTTTTTTAAATTTTTTTTTTTTTACTATTCATCAGTTGGGGCTAATCGAAGGCCAAAGGCAATTAAAGTTTTCAGTGGTACACTGATAGAAAAATCATGTAAATAAGACAGTCACAGTGCATTGGCTCAAATGTTATCCCTCTTACTCTATCTGCAGCAACAAAGAAAAATCCAATTTAATGATTAAAAAAAAAATATCCATGGTTATATCAACTCCCCCTCCCCTCCTATCTAATTTTAAACTATTTTTTATTTAAGTATCATAAACAACATGGTAATCGTTATTATGTTGATGGAAAAAAAATCAAGTAAGGTGACCTAAACTTGTCAATTTGAAAATTTCTAATATTCAAATTTTACTTTTCTTTTATTCTTTTTTTGTGGCACTTAAATATTTTATATAGATTAGAATTCCACGTTTTTCATCTGGTTTGTCATGACACATTTAAATATAGGTTTTATGTTCAAGGGAGGGTTGCAAGAATTGATATAAAAAATAAAAGGTGGCTTTAAAGTATTAAAAAAATTGTAAGATTATAAACATGTAGGCTATTTAATTAAAAATGTCTCAGTGTATAATAATCTATAACTATATGCTTACTGAACAGTACATACTTGCATTGCATGCTACATAGGCTTAGATTGCTTGAGTCTTAAACTTAATTTAAGTTTAAATATAATATTTTAGAATAGACTTGATCAGTGTTTCCCAAACTTTTATATACCTGCAAAAAAATATTTGCCTAGTCTCACAATCACGATACTAATTGTTTAACTTTAACTAAGTCTGCACCCTTACAAAAGTAGCAATTCAATATATATGCATTCACAAATTGGAAACAATAATTTATAATTATAATGATAAAATTCTAATTGATTCAATCATTGAATCAATATGATTGCAAAGAAAACTGTAGAACTTAAAAAGTGTGACTTATACTTATTAGTATTATTAGTATGTCTTATTATCTAAAGCTAAAGTTTAAAACTAAAATAAACTATCAGCTTACGACTCCTCTGTATAATCATAAATGTAAATTATATTAATATCAATCCCCTTTTCTTGCCAATGGCGTGAACACCCCCCCCCCCCTATTTAAAAGAAAACTGTAGAAATTAAAAAATGTGACTTATACTTATTAGTATTATTAGTATGTCTTATTAACTAAAGCTAAAGTTTAAAACTAAAATAAACTATCAGCTTACGACTCCTCTGTATAATCATAAATGTAAATTATATTAATATCAATCCCCTTTTCTTGCCAATGGCGTGAACACCCCCCCCCCCCAACAAACCTTAACACACCCACCCCCTGAAATTCCACATCGCACCCCGTTGAGCCGTTGAGTCTTAGAAGAAGTCAAGAATAAATAAGGAGCTTTTTAAAGTTTTTTGGCATTGGTACTGAGTACTGGCTACTGTAACTCACAATGACACATAATTATATTATAGGTTGACTAATTGGGGCACTTAGTAATAATATTGGTAATCATTTCATTATTATTATGTAATATTAAATAAATTATAAATTAATATTTTAAACAGCTGAACAATAATTTTAATCAATAAATAACAAGACAAATAACATGATTTATAAAATTTTATTTTTATTGTATGGCGTAATTAGTATTATTGAATATATTTAATTTTTAAAGGCAAGTTATTTATTTGCTCACAAATAACAAAGAAATGTTAGTTTAGTGTTATGATTCCATACAAATTGTCGTCGATTTAAACATAATCCTTGCCTTAATTTACTTTTAGGTTAACCAAAATTTTTAAGGATAATTAATTCGAAGCTAATTCTCAATTTTTAAAAAGTTATAACATGCATCTTTCTACACAAAGAAGAGCGACATTCTCGCGAGACACGCGTTGCCACTGTTGTGTGCGCTTCCTACTAAACCAGGCCTGAACAACACACGGCCCGCGGGCACATGCGGCCCCCAGCACTCACTTTGCAGCCTGCGAAGTAATGAAAAATTCTTTATTATTATTATTTTCTTAATAGCCCCCCCCCCGTCCTATTTTCTTTTGGTCTCAACACGTTTTTCATAAGCATTACGGTCCGCCTTACATTTTGAGTGGTGCAGGCCTGTACTCCCTATATGCTGTAGGCTACTAGACCTTTAATGGTAATTGAGGGGAAGGTGCTGCAATCAGATTAGGTATTGCGAAATGAGCCCAACAAGTAAGGAAACATCTGAAGAAAAAAAAAATGATGCAAAAAAAAACAAAAAAAAACAACCAACGTGTCGGTGAGAAGTCTTTTTCAGAGAACAAACAGCAGTAAAAAAAAAATTAAATTAAAATAAACCCTCAGCTTTAGTGTTGAATCCGAGAGGTCACCAAGAGGAATGTGCTACGTATACCAGATATTATTATTAATAATACTAACTAAATCTAAAAGTAAAGATTTAAACTTAAGAAATTTACACAATAAGTAGCCTAAGATTTAAATATTAAATTAACGTAACAATTAATTAAAACTTATAATTAAATACCTTATTAAATAAAAACAATACTAACTTAAATTAGTCCATTTAATTTACCGAAACAGATATTTTTTCAAATAAAATAGCACAACTATTCAATTAATGAAACTATTAAAATACAATTTTACATAGTAACATTTATTATAACCCAATAAATAATTAGATCTAACCTCCTAATTGAAATAAAATTGTCAAAAAGATAATGCGGCCGACAAATTGGTACATTGAAATATTCATTTTAAAAATAACAGAGCTACAATAATACAATTTTACACAGTAACAGATAGGTTCCAGATAAAATGAAAGAAATTTTATTAAATATTTATTTATTAAATTTCCTATTAAACAATTTTTGTTATAGAATACAGAGAAACAGTTTATATTTAGAAAAATATTTAATATTTCTAATGAAAGAAGATAAATAAGAAAAGTTTTAATAAACTTTGGGTGCATCACTTCACCTTTTTTTTTTTCTAATTCTAAGTGATTATTCACAGAGCTGTGCGGATAACGCTCGCCGTTATTCGCAGATTTCGGTCTGCCGATAACGCTGGACATTATTCGCAGGATGTGATAAATTAAATTATGAATATGGAATACAAAGTTCGCAAATAAGTAGTGGTCAGCATCTCCGCCTGTCACCAGCAAGACCAAGGTTCGATTCCCCGTCGGAGAAGTAACTTTTTATAAATACATCAAAAAATAAATAAATATTTAATGGTTATTTCGTATTGTTATATTATAATTATATTCTTCATATAGCTTTCTTATTCTGTTCACACAGTTTTACTACTATTATTATTTTCATATAGTTTTGTTACTAATGTTACAATTTTTATTTATAGAATTTTATTATACTTTTCATTGTGTCCAACAACGTAAGTATTCAAAATTCTAGTTTCAATTTATTTTTTTTAGAATGTTCATTCAAGTTTCGTCAAAAAACTCTAAACAACATGGACATGCAGATGAGCCGCATAAACCATGTTTAAGTCAGATACAGCTGTTCTAACTGTACATTGTGATATACTTTTAGCTCTTTTGACTGTTTAATTTTCTTTGTATAATTCCACTCATAGACTTTAACATCCATTTGTTTTTTCTCTAATAAACAAATACTTATTAATAACTTACTTATTCAAATATTTTAGATCACAGAGTTGTGTATTAATGTTTAGCTGAAAAAATATGTCACGTTTTATTTGTTTCATTTTATTTTCTAATAAGTATCATAATAAGTAGGGACACAATATGCCGCTCCAGAAATAGTTGAAATAACATTTAGTGATGACAATGAAAGGAACATACCGGTACCGTACTTAAAACACATCAATATCATTGACATCAACAATTTTAGCTCTTGTAAAAAAAATGTTGATAATTGAAACAAAAAGCCATACTGCCACTGTTGTAACTATGGGTCTAAATACAAAAAAAGCATACAAAAATTAATTGGAACCCTGCTGGTCGTAGGATGCATTGCGAGTCTTTGTCATACTGCCACTGTTGTAACTATGGGTCTAAATACAAAAAAAGCATACAAAAATTAATTGGAACCCTGCTGGTCGTAGGATGCATTGCGAGTCTTTGGGAAGTAAAGTTCCCTTGGGGCAATTGAAGCATCGTTTACAAGTTTGAGTGTATGGCCAGCGCAATAACCAGCCACCTTTACTTTTCCCAGCTAAGGTCAGAGCTGGGTAGACTTAGGGACACCCTCAAGGATGAGGAAAAAATACTAGCCTTAAACTTAAACAGGATTAGATTCTGTTATTATCGATGTAAGGCCTATATGCCCCTCGTCGTCTCTCACATAGCCGCCTGATGCAGACACCTCTCTGCATCATAACACTGTTGCACGGCATATCAACTATTGCTGACAGAACATTTTTGGACTACGTGATATATCATAGTGCTTAAAAAAAACTAAACGATATCCTATCAAGCTTTGACATCATTTAAAGACATCTCTTCAATGGGTGAAAGTGAGTCTACATGAAGAATACCGGTACCATTTTTACTACTGGTATAACTTTTAATATGAAATACCAGAAAATTAGTTATGTCTAGGAGTAGGAGGTTTGACTGGATCTATTAGTAACACTCTATAGGTCGAATAGACCCTATGTTGATCCCTAACCGAGCAGATTTAGGCACAATTAATTGTCCTATATCCAATATATAGGCTATAGTTAGGCCTATTTTTTTTTTTTAAATTTAACTTGTGCATACCGGTAGCTTCGGTTTTGAAATGTGTTTTTGCCATACTCATTAAAGATCGATCTATCCTACACTACTTAAAACTACACCCCCACTCCCCGCCTGGAATGTGATCCTAATTATTTCCAGAAATTTGCGTAATTATGGGAACATTTCTGTCTAACAATAACGCTCTGCATTATTCGAAGATTTCGGTCTGCCGATAACGCTCTGCAGTATTCGAAGATTTCGGTCTGCCGATAACGCTCTGCAGTATTCGAAGATTTCGGTCTGCCGATAACGCTCTGCATTATTCGAAGACTTCGGTCTGCCGATAACGTTCTGCATTATTCGAAGATTTCGGTCTGCCGATAACGCTCTGCATTATTCGAAGATTTCGGTCTACCGATAACGCTCAACATTATTCACAGAGCTGTGTGGATAACGCTTCCCTTTTTTTTTTCCATGACTCAACCCATCGGTATACTTCATTTTCACCCCTCTCCTGTTTGCACCAGACCTCCAAAAAAAAAAGTTAATCTGTTAGTCGGTCAGGCCTACTAATTTTCAGACACGCCATTTAGGCCTACGGTAGTAACATTCCACAGTAATATGAGCTTCTTCTGTAATAAACAAGGGATATCAGGGCTTACATTTTATTCTTCTCTGAGTGTATATACCGGAGGTTAATTTGAGATTCCTTTTCTTTTCACACTCCATGACATCTTCAAAAGATTTTGGTAATGATAAGAGTACTTATTTCGTTGCTCTCATAGTTATTTCAAGTTGAATAAAGAATAAGTTATTTAACCAATGCAATAAAGCTGATTTTTAATTATATGTCAAATTTAGTTTTCAGAGGGCACTTGATTAAAAGATATAAAATATCTTTTCAAAAAGGAAGACAACAGAACAGATTTTTAGAAAATTGTTTATCGCGGTTATCTCCTTCTCACTACAAAGGATGTCCTTATTAAATTTTAAGTGCGTTTTAATTTATTTTAAATCGTCCTTTTATAGAAAGACGATTTTAATTTTTAATAAATATATATAAAACTCAGGGCTAAACTACAACGCACTAGGCAGTTTGCAAATTTGTGTTCAATATGCGTGTAAATTAAACTTCTTATTACTTAAAATAAACGGGATTCAAAAAATTATAGTGAATATGTTAACTTTACGGAAATCAAATCAATTTAAATTTGAGAAAATAAATTTGCATATGTAGTAGGTAAGTATATCTAATATTTTATATGCAAGTATTATTTTTATAAATGAGAAATAAATTTAATATCTAATTAATAAAAAATTATTTTCAGTATTTATCTTACTGTGCGAATTATGTGATACTTTGAAGTTATTACTAAGAAAATTATTTTTTAATCTCATATCAATATACACACACTTTACTTTTAGCAAAGTAAAAAACAAAACAAAAATATTCCATTCATTTTTGAAAGAAAGCCTGAACTAATTTCTTTTTTTCAAAATTAAATTTTCACATGTGTCAAATGATTATGTTTTGATATTCATTGGCATACTTTTGTAAATGTACTCAATTTTTGTTAACTCAATTGATTTTCTTAAATGGTAAACATGTTTATTAGTAAAAAAAAAGAAGAGAATGTAACATCTCTTTTTCACACCTGTAATATCATAGGATTTAAAGATATTGTTATTCACGTAAAATCTACACATCTTATTCCCCCCCCCCCGCCCCCATATGTATGTAACTAAGAGGGTTAACTATTTATCCTATTCATTCCTTTATTCTGATGCATTTCTTGTGCTGCCTGGGGCAAAATGAAAGTATCGAGCCCCCCCCCCTTCCCCAATAACTAATAACCAATCTAAATTTAAAAAAAAAATAAATTTCAAGTAAGTAAAATGTTTGGGTTTTGACATTTGTGGGTATAAACGTTTTGTTAACGCCATTGATTTTCTAAATTGGTAAACGTATTTTTATTTTTAATTAGAGAATATAACATCTCTTTTTTCACAAATATAATACCATAGGATTTAAATATATTGTCATCCACTTAAGATG